TTGGTTCCAACTGAATTTTAGCAAAATAAGGTATAGAAAAGACTATAATTTAATAAGATAAGATTTTATAGAAAATATAGAATACAATTCGAGAGGAAAGAGTATTTAAGTTGGGGATTCGTAAGTTGGGCTCAGCAGAAGCTGTAGGGAGATTACCATTGAGCTGAGATTGTCTTCAGACAAGACATTAATTAATTAAGGGATTTTTTTAAACAATTTTTCTACGTATGCTAAATATGGTTTCAATCAGAAAGCCTAACGGACGTTATAAAGTTTTTATAGATGGAAAATAAAAATGAATGAATATTCACACGAATGTAACTATACTGATTGAAACATTTATTTTTCCTACCACATAGGATGAAATCTGGACAGCCAGTTTCAGGAAGCTGCTTGCATATAAGTTCAAAGTTGAAATAAAATGTGGAGATCCTTCTCTGACACTAGATGAGGTAGCATGGCCAAATTCGAATATATATGGCAAAATTTTAGTTGCATGCAGTTGTGCCATAATGATTTTAATAATTGTGACAAAAGTGCTAGCGAAAAGGCAAGAAGAATAATCATTCACTGAAAAAAATGTTTTTTATTATATAATTAAAATATCTTTCAAAGGACTCACCCCGAACCAAATATGAAATGCAAAGTGGGTAGTCGTCACAAATTCGCTTTGAATTGGAAACTTTTGGAGACCCGTTCTGAAAGGAGTCTGAATGCTGAGAGGAATTCGTTTTAGAACGTGCTATCAAGTCCGCATCAACAAGGTAACAGATATCTGGCTCCAAGTCCAAAGAAGATTGGCTGACGCAGGAAACTTGCGAGTCTTCTGGAGGCTTGCCCACGGGCACAGGACTAAGACTAGCTGCAGGTGAAATACGGATTAAGCAATTGCGAAGTGAGTCACGGATCCCAGTAGGAGAAGAAAGAAGAAGTTCAAAAAACAAGACGATTTGTTGGGAGAAGTACAGCGTAGATGAGATTGAAAATTCAGAAGGTATTTCAGAGGAGACGTAGGTAACCAACTGATTTTTCAAAAAGAAAAAAGCGAGAATCAAAATGAGGGGAACAATGGAAGGGGTAAAATAATAGGGAATGTGAAATGATGCAGAAAATTGACCAAGACCAAATCGTAGATATGAAAACCAAGATGGTGTAATCATTTGTTTGGTCGCAAAATAAAGTTTATGTAAAAGTGCCACAATTTTCCATTTTTTTAATGCTGAAAAACCCATTTATGCTATAAAGCTTGTGAGAGATGGAAGATGCATGTTTTTAGACCTTGTTAATCAGGTACCAAGAAGTGTGAGGAAAAGATGCCGTAAATAGCAGACCTAGGAGTAATTCAAATTAGGAGCATGAGATAGAACTTGTTAAATAGTGCGCTAACAAGAAATCTAAAATTAGAATGTGGATAAATATATTCTGTTAATTACTGAAAATATAAAGAAAAGCTGGCAAGGTCAAACTCAAGTCAGTTTCAATATTAACAGTCGCCAAACTTAAAGTGCTACTGACAGTAGGCATTCTCAATGGTTTGGTCATAGGCTCACCTCATCCATATTTAGCGGCCAGGATAGAATATCGCCAGGCCAGATAAGAAAGGTGGTCGAATTCCTGAGTAGAGGACGAGAAGAAATAACCACTGGCTCATTTGCAGGTAAATGCTGAGCATCAGCTTTTTTATTTGCAAGTTGATAATGTTCTGGATGAGGGATGAAACAAAATTAAGACAAATGGAAGAGATTCGTAAATTGTTTTATTTTTATAAGTATGTTTTCGAGACTACCAGATCATATATGTATATATATGTATGAGATGTATACGCCCAATTATGTTTAAGGTGATAAGTGGCCGCTTGGCAGTATGGCAAAGAAAGCTTGTGAAATTAATTTGGTTAATTAAAAAGAATAGAAAAGAAATTCAGCATCAAGTTAGAAAAGAAAAATGATCTACTCTTTCTAGTTAATCCAGTTAGCCAAGAAGAAACCAAATTAAGTATAGGAATCGAAGGTAGGAAGAGCAGGATGGTGTAGCCTTTTGTGTGGTCGCAGTCTCCTTTCGTTGTATAGAAG